TCAGTAGAAACCGCTATGTGCATACCTGTTCATTAGTAGAAATATACAACAGACAAGAGGTCATCCATTAAGATTAGAATAAAGGTGTTTTCCTTTACAGCAGAGGAAAGGGTTCTTTATACAAAGAACAATAAAGAGATGGAATTCTCTGCTTAAAGAGGTTGTGTTATCAGATTATATAAATATATATTTTTTTTTTAAAAAACAAAGAAAAGAGTGGAAGGGATGAAAAACCGCTCACATATAGTGAGAGGAGTTCCTACTCCTCCACAAATGTATACCTCCTACTATCAATGTAACATAGGGTGGGGGAAAGAAAAAAGGGAATATAAACCTTTATTAGAAAGTTAAAAATTCCTCCAATCTTGGAGAATGGTAGAACAATTTGTCAAAGATAAATGCACCAATGCACCTGCTCGATATGCAGATAAACTAAGGTATACTACTCATATAAGGAATTGTATCAAAATTAAATGACTCTAAGTCATATATATATACATGTAAATTCCCTATAGGTGTATACTTAAATAAGCCCTTTCTATGGGGAAAAAAATAGAGATGTCAAGAGAGTTGACATTAATCAAAAACTTGTAATGGTAGGGATATGTATATTGCCTGGTAGCAGTTGTGAGACCAAAGGGAGAAAAATACTTAGTCACTATTCCGGGCAAAAGGTTAAAGAGGTAAGCTGGAAAGTTCTCTTTCTTTATGCACTGTATACCCTTGTGGGCAACATTTACTGCTAGAGAGTTTGAGCTACACAAAGTTTATACTGATAATACCTACATGTAGACGGATATGCTCCTGTTCCCTAAACTACTGAGCATTTATCCTCTTTAACCTTTTGCCTGGAATAGTGACTAAGTCTTTTTCTCCCTTTGGTCTCACAACTGCTACCAGGCAATATACATATCCCTACCATTACAAGTTTTTGATTAATGTCAACTCTCTTGACATCTCTATTTTTTCCCCATAGAAAGGGCTTATTTAAGTATACACCTATAGGGAATTTACATGTATATATATATGACTTAGAGTCATTTAATTTTGATACAATTCCTTATATGAGTAGTATACCCTAGTTTATCTGCATATCGAGCAGGTGCATTGGTGCATTTATCTTTGACAAATTATTCTACCATTCTCCAAGATTGGAGGAATTTTTAACTTTCTAATAAAGGTTTATATTCCCTTTTTTCTTTCCCCCACCCTATGTTACATTGATAGTAGGATGTATACATTTGTGGAGGAGTAGGAACTCCTCTCACTATATGTGAGAGGTTTTTCATCCCTTCCACTCTTTTCTTTGTTTAAATTTACTTTGGGGTTAAGCCCCGTATACCTCTTGTAACCTCTATAGAGGCTTGGGAGCTGGCTTGTCCAGTCCCCTATAGCCCCTATTTCTTTATCAATATTTTTAGAAAAGGTTGGATGCTTTTGTGCAAAAACAGAATACAGAATATTCAAGGATATAGTTGATATGTATGTAAATAGGTAGTTAAAATCTGCATAATTTAAAATGGCTACAATTGGGCTTTCTGCTTTCTTTTGAATCAACAGCATAAGAAAACGGATTTAGAGGTTGAACTTGGCAGACTTTAGTCTTTCTTCAACTTAGACAACTATGATTATCTACTGACCTAACAGGCTTGATTATCCTTGTCCTTTCAGTAGTGAAATAATTAAAAACAAAATAATTGCAATAAAACATCTTTAGTTTCCTGCTCTGGCACTCAACGGACACATACGTTTACATTTTGGACTCTTAGTGCATTTCCTTCATTTTTTCCTCTTCCCTCCTTCATGCGCCTTTTCACACCCTCTAAGTGGAAATGGTTTATTATCGTTTTCCTGTACTGTTTTCCAAGTCTTGATCAGAGTTAGAGAATTAGAAGAAGCGGACTGTAGCCAAGTCAAGTAAGAGCTGTAATGAAGGGATTTACTCTGGCTCCTGAATGATAGAGTCTTACATATTCTTAACAGCCACATTTATAGAACTTTTATAGATTTTGGAATTTCCCCATCTTACCCCTACTCTAGCTGCAAAACGGCTCCTTCCAAAATGCATCATCATCTGTTTTGCATTACAGAAGGGAGAAAATCTGACCTTAATAAATTATTTTTAATCCATAGTGTAAGTCTTCAGTTATCCTTTATGAGTCTTAGAATGAAGAAGAACAACAAATTGTGAAAAATCCCACAGTAACATGTCTTGTAGTTATTTGGGATAGGCAAATATAGTGCTATAGAGAATGAGCATCAAAATTATTTATTTTGGCAAGTCAGGGTGAAGTATTTGCATCCAACATTTTTTCATCTAATCAAAACTAATAATGTTAACTTTAATTGAGGTGTCCTTCCACTGGGGAGTCAATTGTTTGCTTAATTTTTTTTCTCGGCATTGTGCAAATTCTGCACTTATGCCGGAAAAATTAATTTCTAGAAGAGGTGAGTTATCCTTTTACGTCAGCCTGTGAGCCATGCCAATAAACTGAATGACTCCTTTTACTTAAATTTTTTTCCAGTTACCACAGTTTTTCCTGCAACAATATACTTTCTATTGTACCAGATATTAAATGTTACAAATGAATCTAATTTGCTGAAAAAAAAATATACATATACGAATATAAAGTTTTTCTCATAATTACACATGTTGTAAAACATGTCTTTCTTGAAGCAAATTTTCAAGAAATCAGGAAAAAGAAATCGAAACAAAAGCAAATTTCGAAACAATAGTGGTTAAAACACCTAATAAAATGAGGTTTCATATAATGCCGTTTTCAAGTTTAACAGCAAGAGTGGCCAATTAAAAAAGGTGTTTTCTAAACTTTGGCCTGCTCTTAGAAATAATATCTAAAATGTGTACATTTCAGGCAAAGCTAATATAAATTTTACAGGTTTACCAAATTTGAAAAATATATATATCAGCATCAGCTAAAGTTACTCGAGCCTGCTCCCTAAAATTCATTTCTAACATGTTTATTTTTGCAGCCACCATTTTAATGTATGCTAGTAACCAAAAATTACATTAGAAAGTTCAAATCCTGTCATTCAACACTTACAAGGTTAAATAGGAAAAACAGATTTTAATAATTCAAATATTATCTTAATTTCCAAATGTGTATGGGTTCTTTTTTACCCGTAGTAAGTAGGTAAATGTTACATTTATGTATGTGGTTTAGATTATCCTTAGCATAAAATTGAGATTGTTTATGCATATTAGTATTATTATTCATAAAGTATCAACATGTTCCAAAGCGCTGTACAAAAGATGTACAAATATACAAGTATTTGCAACAAGACATATCTGATGTACAAGAACAAAAGATTGTGATAGACCTATTCAGGCAAGTGCATATTTTACATAAACAAAATGTTTCCGCACATTTTCTTATATGAATGTGCGATGAGTGGGGTCTGTCTCCACTTCATGTGTGTTTATGCGTGCAGTCACTCTAGCCAGGCCCACTTAGACAGCACATGCATAAAAACTGAACAATAGGGAACAAACACAGGAGGAAAATGTAAAGGCAGTTTAGGGATGACAGCTGAAAAGCACCAAATCAGTACTATCCTGACAAATCTCGGACAATTGGTAAGTATGGATTTGGTTGATTTAAGTATACCTCCCTAGTGGGACCCTGTCTAAAGTTGAAAGGGCCATTGTGCAATGTGCATGCAGGCACTGATATTATGAAACAGTGCTTATAAAGTGAATGTTTATGTTGTTCTATAATCATATCATATTGTAATGCAATTATATTACTTTGATCACTTTTATTTATTACACCAATTTTCTTGGTATGTTTTATGACAACACATTTGCAGTTTTAGTTTAATTTCTGTGTTTTCATGTTTATGATATAACCACTTAAATCACAATTGCAGATCCTTGCATTGAGGGATTGAGGTAAGAAATGCTTTGGGGGGGGCATGGCTTGAGCCCCAAGACAGGCGGTTGTGTTCCAAGTGAGCCCCTCTCTTAGCTCTCTGAAAGATCAAGATTCCCATCTCCCTACACTCCAATATCAAGCCCAATGAAGACTTACCTCCCTCTAGAGCTGATTTATATACCTTTGAGCAAGTGGACACCATGCCTGCCGTATTCATCTCAGAGGATACGGCACAACCTAGTATGGACTTTGAGCGGGAGAGGAGGCCACTTTCCCAATCTACATAGGTTTGGATCCTCGCTTGGTCCCCTTGCCACCCCATTTACTCTTCTGTGGGCCAGTGGGAATATCCCAGTCGCCGCTGGGCTACATATCAACGTCCTTCGTAAAGTGGACAACTACCTCACAGCGGTCCAGAAAGGAACCAACACCACCGGCATGCAAGATGGCAGACACTATTACCACGATGACACAAGACCTGGAAGCACACCAAGCCAACCTCACAAACCCCTACCCTGATATCCTGGAACTCCTAGATGCAGTTTTTGACCGCTTCCTGGCTGCCTTGGAGGAATGATGGAACCAGGCGGAACCAGATGTTGACATGCTGGCTAGGGAAAGGAGGCATTGTGGTGTGAGGCCTAAGGGGAACCTTGCAGGCGACTCAGCTGTCAAGCAGTTACCAGACAAGCCAAATTTAAGTCCACCTGGGCTAAGAGTCAACCGTGGATCAACCCCAACGCTCCAGCCTTACCAGCAGAAGCGCTCCAACTATATTCAAAGATACCTAATCAAGCTTGTCAGGGACTTTGGCATTTTCCTGGTCAGGGAGAACTTGGCCAAGGTCATGACACAGGAGCACTGGCTGGGGAATGGAGGGAGCCCTATCTCGGTCCTCCAATGCCACCCATTGACATAGTCTGTGCCTGGGTGGCAGATACATGCCATGCCGGGCATTGGCTGACTGTCCCTTCTGTTGGATTGCTTCCACAAAGCATTTCATGGATGCAGACCCCTCTGAATGGTCTTTAACGAGGTGATGGTTGTCCCAGTGGATTACGAGCCTTGTGATCTAACGACATGCCTAGTACATCTTATCAGGCTGATGTTATGTTTTGAATTATGCTACAGGTATAATGTTATTATATCTTTGGTATTTTGCTTTATAAGAACAACATATATTTTCCTCTTGTGTTGTCAGTTTACCTACTCAGTGAATGCTCTCACAAGCTTTGCTGCTTCCCTGACACACTTCTGCTGGTTTCAGGTTATAGTTATGATCATTTCCAATCTTCTTGTCTAGCTAACTACTAACTTAATCAGTCAGATATTGTTTCACTACTGTACCACCTACTAGCTAGACATGCCTAGCATAGCCTGTTATTCTTTTTTTATTACTTAAAAAAAATAAGTGCAGTAATTTTGACATCTCAAGCAGTTCCTTGTACCATTCAATATTGTATATACCTTAGTTGAAATGTCTCTACAAGCCTGTATTACTAAATACGCACTGAAAAATAAAGAATGTCAAGAAAAATATAGATGCTTTGTAATAATAGTGGTAAAAATCCAGGGTGGTGGACTACAAAGAAGACGAGTAACAAGCTAGTGCTGTTTGAGTACCCTACACCGGGCCTTGTCTTTGAGAATACATTAGGATTGACTCCAGGATGACCTCAGCTATCAAGTTACATATAGGGAAGACTGGAAAAAGCAATTTTACTGAATTTGAAGTACGAGGAGTAGTCCATAAGGTAGCACACAATAAGAAAGCCTGCTGACAGCTGGAAAAAAATGAAAATTTCAGATGTCTTGAGAACCTAGAAACTGAGAAGCAGACGCCACTTCTCCCACATCATGTATGGTGGGCAGAAGGAATGTACATGCATTTTCCCCTGAGTCTAATAAAAACATGTTTACCACTTACGCACTTTGTGTATGTGATAGGGCTAGCTAATAACATGGGTTTCTGAAATTGATTAAAAAGTTGGAGTTTGGTGGATAACATGTAATATATACTTTTAAATGTGTCCTTAAAGAAAACTGCCTACTAGCAAATGAGGAATCCACATAATGTTCTTCAGGAGTACTGTCTGCTCCACACGTTCTTTAAAACATATACATCTGACATATTAGTACAAAAATTGATTTTGGGAGCAATATGGAGAAGTAAAACGTGTATATCGATACAGCTAATTATGTAATAAAGCCTTGGAAATACTTCCCTTCCCAAATGGAAGATTAAGTGACCACCTAAAGGGCAGCAAGATCACCAACCTTAACCGGAGACGAGATGGAGTAAAAGTATTAAAGTTTAGGTGGAAGGTTCATCTTCATAGTCCAATGGCAACTAAAGAGGGAAGGCAGCACTTTCGAATTCTGCAGTTTTAATTCTTTACTTGCAAGTCTGTGCAATGTTTGCATTTATTATATATGATTTTTGATTATTGACCTTGCGCTTATCTGCATGGGTTGTCATGGGGACATCAATCTGTTTGCAAACACAATATGCAGACTGGTACAAAAGCACCCAGAGGGAACATTCATGAGAGCATTTGCATGGATATAAGGCATCTGCATTGTTACTAGGGGTTGCAGTATGTGGGTGTGCACATTGAGAAAGAGATATCTTGATAAACTTGTGCATTTTATTTTTAGGCTCTTTTTTCAAAAGTGTTTAGATAACACAAATGCACCTTATTGATATGATTATTGCTATTGTTATATAATAGTCTTATATGCCAAAAACTGATTGGCAGGTGAGATCCTTAAAAGAACATTATAGTGTCAGGAATACAAACATGTATTACTGACACTGTAGTGCATGAATCACTTGTTAGGTCTCCGGCCCCCATCTCCATGGAGAGTAAAGGGGATTTTGCTCACCTTTTTTGCCGGGCTCGCCGTGGCTGGCCCTGCTTACATCTGCCTACATGGCTGAGAACAGCAAACTTGATGATCTCAGCCAATCCAATGGTTTCCTGTAGGAAAGCATTGTGAGGCCCTTTGCTCATGCACAGTAAAACTGCTGCACCAATCAGCATGTCCTCCTAAAGATGCACTGAATCAATGCATCTCTTTGGGGGAACATTCAGCACCTCCATGCAGAGTGTGGAGATGTTGAACATCAGTGCAGCACACTGTGCGGCACTCCCCCAGGAAGCACCTATAGTGGCCGTCTCAGTGACTGTCACTAGAGGTGTAATTAGTCAGCAATTAGAGTATGTGGAGTAATATTACAGAGAACAGCTAAGTATTACGGGTATTATTAAACATTAATACACTGTGAGTTGAATGGGTTGTATGTGACACCCACATTTTGCCATTTTATAATGATTTGGCACTGTTTAGAGAAGTGGGAGATAAGAGAATTTGTGTGTAGTTTAAGTTTGCTCAGAAGGGAAGCAAATGAATTATGGACAGGTTGTCCATTATGAAATATATAATAGTATGGTAATGGATGATACTAGATACTTGATAGACACCAAATATCTTTAAAGGATAAGAATGGAGGAACCAGGGAAAATAGTTAGAAAGGAAATGCATTCTTAAGTGGGTTGTATGTTACATGTTTATTTTAGGCACTAAATGCTATGATATGGCAGAAAAGAGTAAGAGAATTAAAACCACTTGAGTATTTAATTTGTTATAATATCTATTCACACAGATACACAATTTAATAGTTATTAGGCTCTGATATTTAGAGTTAATAAAAAAGTACTATAAGATCAATGCATCATGTGAAAACTATAACTTATGTTTATGAAGTATTATAAAGAATAATGGTTAACCACTGAGATATAAAGAGCCCAACTGGTTAGGCACAATGGGAAGAATGTGTAGTAAGACGGATGTACAATATTTAATTTAATTTTATATATCTACGGCATTTCTTATGAAGGAGGGAAGAATCGTTATATGGTTTTGATTAATAAGCAAGATAAGAATCGTTATATGGTTTTGATTAATAAGCAAGATAAGAATAGAAATTGTAGAATTATTGCATATATTGACTAATAAGAAACGGAATACAAGAGTAGGTGGTTTCATTTAATTATTTTAATTTTTTCCCCTCTCTCTCTCTCGTTAAGTCCAATTTTCCGCCCAGGATTTCCCTCTTGGTTGGGGTGGTGGGGGGTGGTCTGTGGGGAAGTAGAGGGGTGAGAACGTTTATGTTCTACCCCTTCCCCTCCCCCTTCGGACTGACCTCCACTTTTATTTCCTCTTTTTAAAATAACTATATATAATGGCAGATTTGGTAGAATGGGAGCATGACATCCTCCCCTAGGGTATCGATGTGGTACCCAGTTCTAAGAGACATATGAGGAGTTAGAGCTAGAGTTTTTGCTCTTGATTTATGTATAATTCTGTGTGGTATTTTATTGTTGAATATTTGTTTGTTTTTGTAAGTTCACTGCGGCTGCGGATCAGAATAATAGGAAGGAGGTTGTATGGTTAAGGTGATATCGATAAATACTCAGGGCCTTAATACTCCACGTAAAAGGGGATTCCTGTATGAGACACTACTAAGAGAGGGGGCACATATAGGTTCATACAGGAAACCCACTGGATTAAAGAGAAGGAAAATATGTGAAAGTATAGTATATTCCCTTTAACGTATTGTGCATCATTAGGCAATCGAAAGAAATGTGGTGTAACTATAATTTTCTCGAAAAATATTAAATTCTCTTGTATCAAAAATTGGAAAAAGAAGGGAGGTTTGTTATCCTAGTGGGACAATTAAATGGGCAGGATTACACACTGGTTAATGCTTATCTACCTAATAAAAATCCTACAAGAACATTGGCTAGAATCATGGAAAGGGTAGAGAAGATACGTAAAGAAACACTATTGATGGCCAGTGATTTTAATTGCATGCTGGAACCTGGTATGGATAAACATATTGGATCAGGTTAGTATGTGGATAAAATATTAGTTAAACAGGCAACTATAATGAGCAAGCTCATAAAAAAGTTAGATTTATTTACCTGCTGGAGACTGTTCCATCGAACTGACCGTAATTATACACATAGATCAGTTCCACGTAGTTCTGCCGCTAGAATTGATATGATCTCAGGGGATACCCAATTAGTAAAGAATATAAAAACAATCATTATAAGGGATAATACATGGTCGGATCATGATAGGTTGATTGTGGATATAAAAGGATTATAAAGAAGATTAAAATCCAAATTCTACTATAGGAATAATAGAGTAGATAAGATGTTAACAAATACATTAAAGAAAACAAAAATAGATAATAAAATAATAAAAGATGGCAAGACATATTAAAAGCCAGAAGAAATTGTTAATGTGTTTAAATTTTTTTTATGAAAGTCTCTAGAATTTGGAGAATAATTCAACACCTCTACAAATAGATAACTATCTAGACAATTCTAACATCCCGACAATAAGATCGGAACAGTTAAAGATCTTGAATCAGCAGATCGAACCAGGTTGACGTCCAGCATGCAATTGAAAAATTAGAATATATTAAAGCTCCAGGCCCAGATGGCTATACAAATAGGCTCTACAAAGTGTTTCAGAAAAGTGTTATTTTACCTCTGACAGCAACCTATGCACTGGCAGTAAAAGGGTCGGCTTCAAAAAAGTTATTAAGAGCGAATATAATCCCCATTTTAAAACAGGACAAAATACATACTGATAAATCAGATTACCGTCCATTATCTTTAGTTAATATAGATATGAAAATATATGCTTCAATTTTATCAGAAAGACTTAAAAAGATTCTGCCCTCAGTTATCTACTCAGAACAGATAGGTTTACTACTTGGTAGACTGTCAAGTAACAATAGAAGAAGAGTGGTGGATGTATTGGATAGGGCTCAGCAGGAGCCCTTCTGACCCTTTTGGTGGATGTAGAGAAGGCCTTCGACAGGGTCCGGTGGGGATATTAGAGTAAAGTCTTGACCTGATTTGGTCTAATAGGTTGGATTGCAGATGCTATGGGTGCACTATATTCATCTCCTTCAGCTAGATTGGTGGGGCAGGATTTTTGTACCGACTGGTTTGATATATTTAATGGAACGAGGCAGGTGTGTCCTTTGTCCCCATATATATATATATATATATATATACACACATATATATATATACACATACACACATATATACATATATACACATACACATATATACATATATATTATCTATTGCTATTAATATTAGAAGTAATCCTCTAATCAAGGGGGTGACTTTAATAGACTGGGAATTAAAGACATGCCTATATGTCGATGACATCCTCAACTCAGTAACAGACCCATATTTTTTCCTTCCCCATGAAGGAATTTAAAAGATATAGTATAGCATCAAACTATAAATTAAATA